ACCGGCCCCGCTCTCACTGCTACCGCCTCACCGGCCCCGCTCTCACTGCTACCGCCTCACCGGCCCCGCTCTCACTACCTACTGCTGCCGCCTCACCGGCCCCGCTCTCACTGCTACCACCTCACAGGCCCCGCTCTCACTGCTACCGCCTCACCGGCCCCACTCTCACTACCTACTGCTGCCGCCTCACCGGCCCCGCTCTCACTGCTACCACCTCACAGGCCCCGCTCTCACTGCTAACGCCTCACAGGCCCCGCTCTCACTGCTAACGCCTCACTGGCCCCGCTCTCACTGCTACCGCCTCACCGGCCCCACTCTCACTGCCTACTGCTGCCGCCTCACCAGCTCCGCTCTCACTGCTGCAGCCTCACCAGCCCCGCTCTCACTGCCACCTCACCGGCCCCACTCTCACTGCTACCGCTGCACCAGGCCCACTCTCACTGCTGCGGCAGAGAAGAATGTGTGTTCTAGGTACCCTAAGTGACCTACTAGGGTTACAGAGTCAACCAAACTGGGTTACACCCGTTGGAAAAGAAAGTGAGGGCGATCAAGCTCTCATGCCTGTACCGGAGCTTAGGACTTTCCTTGGGTTTGACAGTTATTGTGGAAAATTCATACATAGCCTAGTACCCTTAATCTGCTGTTGACAAAGGGTCAGTTTTGGAAATGGTCACTTATCCAAGAAGTAGCCTTTAGCAAAGTGAAAAAGCAGCTATCATCTGAGGTGTTAGCCCACTACAATCTGAAGCGAGAGGTAATTCTGACACACAATGCCTCCCGTACAGTATCTGGGTAGTGTTGGCACACCAGTGGCCCAATGGAGACGAGCTCCTAATTGTGTATGCTTCCCAGCATTTGGCTGATCACAAACACAAGTGTGCTCAGTTTGAACGCAAGTTTGACGGTCATCTTTGGTGTAAGGAAGTTCCACAAATACTTTTACAGACAGGAATTTGCCATTGTAACAGATCACAAACCCTGCTATAGCTATTGAAGGAAGATAAGGCGGTGCCACCATAGCTTCCGGTAGGCCTGTCAGAAACCACAGGTTCTCCCCTCTGTGTAGTCTGAAGCAAACCTCAGAGTCCAAGATGAATGCAGCCTTGACACTATTACCATCGGAAGAAGAGGAGGAAATTCTCCTTAGATGCTCCAGACGCAAGAGACAGGCTACGGTCCGGTACACACCGTTGACTACGGGGTCAATGGCCCAGGTTAACAACTCCAATCAATCAGGAAAGCCCTGGCTGAATAATATAACCAGGAGGTGGGAATCTCCTCAGTCCAGGTGACATACTCCAAGCTGGCACAAGTAAATAAAGGGTGATTTGGTGATGGGATACCGGCCTCTCTGCAGATATTTCACCAACAATGCCCTCATCCCATGAACTAATAAAAGAAAATCGAGTGAACCTTCAGTGCACCACCTCTCAATGCACGTTTGTCCTTTCTTAAGTGTGCAACAAACTACTCTTAGTATCCCAGGTGGGGTCTCACTAAAGCCTGAAGAAGTTAGGACTCCAAGGTAGACAAACAGGAGGTTGGAAGAACATACCAAGTCAGGCAGCATCTGGAGGAAAGGAGAAGTCAACATTTTGGATATTACCCTTTTTCAGGATTGATGTGGGGGTAGGGGGACCAGCAGATAAATGGGGGACAGTTGCAGAATGGTGGCGATCGGTACACCGGTAGTAGGTACGAACTGGTTAGTCAATGGGAGGGATGAATCCGATTGGGGGCTGGAGGGGAGGGTCATAAGGTGGAATGGAAGGGAGGAGGCAGGGCTGGAAAGGCACCCAGGCGATGGGTGGGAAGGTTATTTGAAATTAGAGAACTCAATGTTAAGTCTCCAGGCTATCAGGTGCCCAGGTGGAAGATAAGGTGTTGTTCCTCAAATTTTGATCTGATTCACTGCGACACTGGAGGAGACCGGGGACGGACATGTTGGAGGGGGATTGGGGGTTGGTGTTGAAATGGGCAGTGACTGGGATGTTAGGCTGGCTCTTTCGGGCCAGGTGAAGATGCTCACCAAATTCCTCAAATATGCGATCTGATTCACTGTGACAGTGGAGGAGGCCAAGGCTAGAACTCCACAACATGGCATTTACCTTCTAAATTGTCTGCTGTACCTACATGCTAACTTTCCACGTTCCTTGTATACTATATGTACACCGAACAATGTACTCTGTGAATTTCACCATTTATAAATTTCAGCCCTTTCGAAAATATTTTGCATTTCAATTCTTTCAAAGAAAGTGAACATTATATTCCATGTTGTTGACCACTCACTGAATCTGTGCATATCTCTTTGCAGCGTCTCTGTGTCCTTCTCACTGATGAAGGTCAGCTACATGAAATATTAACTTTGTTTCTCTCCAACAGATGCTGTTTGTCTTAATGAGTACTTACAGCGTTTTCTCTTTTTATTTCGTACAATATTAATTTGTCTTTAGTAATTTTGAAGTAAGTTTTACTTTCTTTCTCTTCCCCTCCCTAATCTTCAGATAATCCAAAAGGCCACCCCGTCTGAACAAAGATTAGGGTAGTGAATTACTGCTATTGTTAAAAGAGATTTAGAATCTCTTGTGTGTGCTGTAGTAGGATTCAGCACCACAAGCTGGCTGTTGTTGCCAATGAGAATTGAGGCATTTAATGACAATAGAGAGGTGTGGATCACAGCTGAGAACAATATTATAACAAATCTAAGTCAAATACACACTAAATAAAACTGACTTTTGAGAAATCTCACAGTGAACAGTAAATGATCGAGTGTACACTGCCTGTGTTGATCTCTCAGCAGCCACTAGTTGAGCCCCAGAGGCGTGGAGCTGTCTGAAATGTCTCAGCTACAAGTGCTGCTAGCTTCTCTGAAGCTGATTTACCACATGACATTATCAGCAGCAATGTGCAGAATTCTTCAAGCATGGATAACTGCACTTAAACAGCCCTCCCCAAAACCTGAAACCTAACCTCTTTGCATGGAGATAATGAAGTGTGGAGCTGGAAGAACACAGTAGGCCAGGCAGCATCAGCGGAGCAAGAAAGTTCATGTTTCAGGTTCCACACTGTGTTATCTCTGACTCCAGCATTTGCAGTTCTTGCTATCTCTTTGGATGGAGGTTTGGGCAGTGTCCAGCATGAGCTCCTGATGGGGACAGATTGAGTCATCTCTGGTTCTTGATAGCCATTATAATTATGTTTAACTGGTCAATATTAGTTGTACCAATTGCAAATATGCAGTAAACTGCCTCTTGTTATGTTAGACAAGTTCCTCTTCTCATTGAAACTCCATCGTGGTTTGTCCTCTCCCACTAATGAGATCAGTCCATAGACTCAGTAATGAAAGGAGGAGTGATGGCAGCACTCTACCTAACCACATGCCACCAATGGTTGACACCATGACATACAAATGTTCCCAGCAGGCATTA